GAAAGAAGAGAAAAAAAAAAATTACGTCATTTTTGGTGGTCGCTTGCCCCACGCATCTTGCCTTGGTCCCCAGCTGGGCACCACGGATGGTGCTTCTGGGATCTGAAGGAGAAGCATCCCCCCATGCGCATCGCCAGCCCTACCGGTGACAAGGCCAGACAGGACCAGAAAGCCTCAAGCCAAAGACCGACGTGATCAGGACAAGCTAAAGAGCAGCTACAGTCAGGGACTACTGCTCTGCTCCTCCCATACCAACTTGCACTGACTTGGCGGCGTGAAGGACAGATCTGTCCCCATCCGGCCGCGTGAAGGAGGAGCAGCACTTCCCAGCACCTAAGAGGAGCATCTGGCTCGTTTGCCACTTCGTGCCAACAACTATTAGCAGAAGAAAAAGGGAAAAAAAAAACAAAAGTGAAAGCATGTTTGCTCACTGCTGCTCGAGAGGGTCACTCGGGCTGCTCCCTAATGGAGGAGCCAGCTTGTGATTTATGAGCAAACAAGACTGCCACCAGTTCAAGCTGGACATTTAGAGGGTCGTGTGCCACGTGCCCCATCCACCCCAGCCAGGAGGCTGGGATCAAGGCCTCTAGGCAGATGTTCTCACGGATTGCAGAAAAAAAAAATAAAATATTAAAAAACCCTCTCTCTTTTAAAGATCCCATGGGAAAAACAAGGATAGTGAAGGGTCAAGCTTAAAAACAGCTCCATGCTTGTTTTCCTTATACAAGAAGCTCTTATGAAACTTCGGAGCGCGGCAAACATTCCCTGGCTGGAAACGCTCCGGAACAAATAACATTTCCCTGCAGCACCACGAGCTGCACTGCAAGCCCCAGCAGAGCTGGTGGCTTCAGCTCCCATCCACGCTGCTCCACCAGGACCATGCAGGACTTTCCTAGTGCCACTGAGGAAAATAGAGGGGAAAATATGGTGCAAACGACACCACGCGCGGCGTTTCTGCAGCAGCTCCAAAATGCAGCGCCCTGAAGGGATACAAGGCACCAACCAGGTGGCCCACCACCCTCTTCACCCTTCAGGAACAAGAGCCTTGGTGACATTCAAGGACGGCTGTGAGTTGAGGTGCCCAACTTATACAGCCAGGGTGATTTTCCTTAAGGTCTCTGCCTTGCTCCCAATGGCAAATGGCCAAGGGATGCAGCCTCCCCGAAACCTTAACATGCTGCTCCCTGAAGCTCGCTAGCCCCAGCTACGTGGAGCCTGATCACAGCCAGGAAGCGTCTGCAAATCCAGAGGGAAAAATCCTGGCAGTCTCCCTCGTAGGGGCAGGGAGAAGTGTATTTTTTAGGCTTGCAAAGCGCAGGGTGACAGCTGGAGCCGTGTTGGGTTTCTGGACACCTTGGGTCCGTGTTGACCGAGGGGGTCACCAGGGGCTGCAGGGGAGGACGCGGAGCTCATCCCGGGTGCTGAGCGCCCAGGGAACACAGTGCTATAAAAAGCTGCCTGAAAGAGTATCTTGGACATAAAAATAGTGGCAGGAGAGCAGTGGGCGTCCTGTCAGTGCAGAGAAGGAGCTCTCCACGCCAAGGCCGGGGTGGGATTGCGTGCAGCGTGCGGAACGGCGTCGCGAGAGAGCTGAGGAACCCAGGCCCGTCCCTCAGCAGACTTTTCTCATCAAGCGCCTGGCAGAAGATATTTCACCGTGGTCATTTCCTCTCCCCGCTCTCCCATGCGCACTGCGCCAGGGCTCCTCCTTGCCTGCCCTGCTTATTCTTTTTCCATTTTAATTCTATTTTAATTTTGTTTTGCCACTTTCGAAAGAGGCAGAGATGCGACCCTTAAAGGCGCCGCACGCTTCCTTGCTCCCGCGGGCTCCGGCCAGCACCCTTAAAGCTGAGTGGAAAAAACTTCAGGAAAAGAGCAAATAGCTGCTTAAGTAGCCGCTTCCCTCTGCACTTTCCAGCACTGCACTTGAGTGCCAGCCCCTTGCTGTCCCCATGTGGGGCCAGGCGAGTGTCCTCGCTCACGTGCAGGAGCCTTCCGAGCCACTATGGCCAACTAATTGTAGGGAGACTCGGGGGAGAGGAAATGAAATGAAAAATTGAGTCGGAGTTATAAAAAATAAGTAATTTTTATCCCGCTTGCAGTAGGCTTATATTAATTAAACCTTATTGTGGCGCAGGGGGTGGGGAGGGTTATTAAGCCCAGGGCTGGCAGCAAGTGTCCTCTCCTGCTGCCTGAAGGCTCCAGCGAGCCCCAGATATTAATCTTCTAAAGCACTCAAACGCTGCAGAGATGAACACTTGAAATATGAAGATGCTTTTCTGCCTAGCGGAGCCCACGGCCCCGCGCAACGCCAAGGCGTTTGCCCGATGCCCGTGCGGGCTGCGCTCGGGGCCCGGCAGCGAGCAGCGGCGTGCGCTCGTCGCGGGCTGCTTCGTGCGTGGCGATGCAGCAGATTCTCCTCTTTCCATATGTTTCGGGAATACATATTTTCCTCTTTAGGGCTGCCTACCAGGTGTTGGCTGCACGGCTTTCCAACTGCCTGGCGGCGCCGCCAATCTGGCCAGCGCCTCTGCCAGGTGGCTAGCAGGTTCGCCCGAATATTTGTGTCTCCGGAGGCAACGGCGCCGGGATGAGCCCGGAGGAGCCCCCGGCTCCCACCTGAGCTGCGGGCAGCGGGGGAGAGCTCAGACAGGTGACCTCGGCCGAGGCACCCTCGGGGAGCCCGGTGTCTCCCGAGTGTCCCCCGAGCGAAGCGGGCGGATGTCACGCTGAAGCTGGCTCCTGTTACACGGAAAGCAGTTCATGTCCCTCATGGCATCCATGTGGGAAGTCAGCTGGGGTAAGGGAAAGGCCAGGGGTGAGCTCCAAGACATGGAGCTAAAGGGGTTGCTCTATCGGCCGCGTGGCTGGAGGCAGCCTCGTTCCGGCCCGCACCGGCACACCTCAGGGACGGCCTGCACGGATTACACTCTGCCAGGCTCATGCAGATCCTCTGCCTCCAAAGCACAGCAAGGGAAAAAGAGCAGAAGTCGAGCCACGAGAAGCTGGCGAGTTGCTGCATTCTTAGGGCTTAACTCCTCCTGCCCGTGGAGGGGGCTGAACCCCAGGCCAGGATGCGCGACAGCTGAAGTCAGCACTACATGCAGTCAGAGCAAACATATGGGAGGAAGAAGGGCATCTCTCACAGGAGAGGAAACGGGATCTGCAGGAAAAACACTGGGTCCGACAGAGGACATTTGGCTCAGGATGTGGAGCAAAGCCCAGGTGAGCCTATGTGGTCACAGGGGAGTCACAGCCCAGAATCTGACTCCAGGCCAGCTCAAGAGGAGAGTTAGTGCCAAAAGTCACAGACCTATAAATAGGATGTGAATCAATAAAGCAAAACACCTGAAATTTCCATAAAAGACAACACTAATGCCTGCACAGCCTTCTCAAGAGCTACGCAATGGTCAGACATAGTCTCACACAGAGAAAGCCCCATCAGCCCATTCCCTGATTTGCTCTATGCTGTTATCTTACCAGGCACGGACTCGGAGCTTGTGTCAGTGCTGCCAATCTGAGTACTTGCAGGCTGAAAAGACCACGTGTAACCTGTGTCCAAATCGTGTGACCAACCACAGAGGTCCTCGGGGAGATCAAAATTGCAGTTGAAGCTCGCAGGCAGGTGGAAATCTTAAGAGAAAGAAATAATAAGAAAAATTAGGTTGGATTAAAAAAAATGAGCTGCCCATGAAGAGATGCTATTAAAAAGCAACCAAAACTAAAATAGCTGGCAAGCTATAGCTACAGCAGAAAGCATGAAATCTCACTCACTCTTGACACTTTTAACCTATCTTGTATTTTGTCAGCTCCAAGCATCAGCCTTGAGTTCTGCGCCATCAAAATGCTCACGCCCCATTCCTGCAGCTGAGCCACCAAAACAAGCAAATACCCAAGTAGCAAATGGCTGCAGACTCTGATCAGCACCTTCCCTCCATCCCCCAGAGCGGGCAAATACTAAATGCCTTCTTAAATGTCAAGGAAGAGGCGCTTCCGGAGAGCCCCTGTGCGCGGCGGTTCCTTCCCTGGCTCCAAAAGGAGAAGCTCAAGTGCTCCAGCAGCTCCTGGCTGACAGATCTCGCCGCTCGTGCCAGACGGGAGCTGCCTGTCAACACGGCGGGCTGTCACTCACCGCTTCGTACCCTCGCATGGAAATGTCACCGGGGGAAGTGCGGGGCCACCGTGGGTCTCACGCGTGAGGACCCTGAGATGGCCTCTATTTCCAGCTCTGCTACAGAGGCACCTTTGGACTAGTCATCTAACCTCCCATACGTGGGTCAGGAACTGAGCTAATTCCCGTGTCAGCAGCTTTAGGAGCTCGTGGGGACCGTCCTGCAGAGCGGCTCGTCTGCGGCCAGGAGCGAGGCCCTGGCTGGTGCCCTCGGCTGGGAAGCCAAGGCAAGACATGGAGGCCGCGAAACGGGCTGGCATGTCCCGAGCCCTCGGCGGATGCGCACGTCACACGCGCTCATTTTAGGCCATATTTTTTTCCTGGCAAAGAGGAAGTTTTTAATCACGGTGACCCAAAGCGGGTGGCGCGGCCGGAGGAGACGAGTGACTCAAGCGATAGGCACGGGGGGGACGGCGCTGCGAGGGGGCAGAGGGCTTGCTGTGCATGCTCCCGCTTGGAAACAAAACAATGTGGATCACGGATGCCCTCACTCCCCTCAGAGGGGTTCTCTGCAGAGCGGCATTGTTTCTCCTCACCTCCCATAAATCTGGTGCTCCCGGGAACACCCTCATTGTTCCCAAGCTTCCCAAGTGCCTCAGGAACTAAGGGGACGAGCTGCTGCCCAGAGTTACCTTCCCCTCTCTCTGCTGCCAGCACAGACTGTCCTCCTAAATTTTCAAGCATGTGACAGTGGGGGTGATGTCCCCACCAGGGTGTAGGTTGTCCTCAGGTCACCTGCCCTCTCTGCGCGTCACAATTCACCGGCATGCTGTTCCCTCCACAGAAGGAGCCCTGCACGCTTGGTGGCCTCCATCTCTGTCCCGAATCGCCTCCTAAATTTATGACACAGAGCTGGGGGTGGTTCTGCTACGGGGGGAACGCCACACGAGGCCTAAGTGACTTGCTTCGGGTCACATAAGGGAGCAGGGGGAACAGATCTTCAAGCCCTGTACCCTAGGCGCTGAATTAGCCACTATCTCCTGCTCTCGCATCCTGCCTTGATATCACTTATCAGATCTTGACTGGGGGCTTTTTTTTTTGAGCTTGGCCTATCACTAATGACATTACTCAAAGCTTTCCAGGAATCAGTCCCATAGATAGGAGCAAATGGGAAGATAAGAGTGTTTGCCTAGCTCTTAACCCATCACTTATTGAGCTGGAGATGAGCTGCTCTGATACGTACCCTCCTCTTCCCCACAGCTCTCGCCGCACTCAGTGGCCTCGGCATCGGTCGGGTAGGGGGTGGTGGTCAGCTCGCTGTTCAGGGTGGGCACCAGCGTCTCCGCCGTGGCCTTCGTGTCTGAAAGACATGGAGCAGAGGGAGCCTTTGGGACAGATGCTACAAAAAAAAAGAAAAAAAAAAAAGAAAAAAAAAAAAGCCCATGTGGGAGGAAACGAAGCACACAGCTTTCCTGTCGTGTTCATACATCGGCCGGAAGAGATAGGACAAGAACACCATGTGTCAGCAGGGCCTGAACTCTGTGTGAACTGCCTTTGCTGTACGGGATTCCCTTTGATTTAGGGTCCCCATTGGCACTCTCCTGTAGACACACGGCCTCCTTCTTGTCCTTAATTCCTTAATCTACAACGGTGCTGGCAATCCGCTTGGCTATCAGTGCTGGACAGCAGAGATCACGGGCAGCACATCCTTTTGTTTCCTCAAGGCATATGATAGGCAAGAAAAACAGAGACAACGTTCCCACTAATTGAGCCAATTTATGAAACAAGTCACTCCAACGCACGGATGATGTAAGCGCCGACGGGACGGACCCAGAGAGATCCCAGCCCGCGCTGGCTCGGCCGCAGAAAGCATCTGGTTTCACACCGCGGGCTCCCGAATACGCTTTTAAAGCAGCTCTTTCCAATTTCCCTCTCTCCAACACAGCCCATGTGAAACAACCTCCAAGTCGGTGTCAGGGTAATGTAAAGAGGAAAGAGGAGGACATTAAAATCAGCAGCAAGCGGCAGGAGGCTCCAGCCTGCTCCCCTTCCGCGGGTGCGTGAGCCCGGTGCAGCGCTCGGCTTTGTGCTTTCCACTCCTGAAGAGCTTGCTTTGCTCAGCTACTTGTGACTGTGTTTCTGTGTTGACACTCTTCAGGATATCATTTAATAAAGCCAAAAGCAGAAGGAAATGGCTAAATGCATCGAATATTTTCCATAGGCTGCTTTTCACCCCTTTTATTTTCCTGTTATTAGACATGTTGCACATAAACTCTCAGGGTTTCTTTCTTTCTCTTTCTTTTTCTTTTTTGCCCCAGCGGCTGTCTTCTGTTCATGGTAAAATACCAAATAACCTCAAAGCCTTTTAATTTGTAAGTTCAGATTTGTTACAACCCCATAAAACTCCAAATGCAACCAAGAAGCAAATTGCAAGCAGCCAGGCAAAGAAAAAGGTCGTAAAAAAAGAAAAGATGAAAAAAAAAAACAGCAGGTGAAGGCAGCATATCAAAAGCTCCAAGTTATTTGGAGCTGGCACACTTTTTTTTTCTGGGTTGTTGTTCTTGTATATTGAGATTTATTGCCGGTATTTGACAGTGTGGAAGGACCTTGAAAGCCAAGTCCCATACGGGACGCAGATGCTGAGCGGATGTAAATCAGCAGTGTTACCCTGCTCCAGACAAGCCTCGGAAATCTATCCTGGAAAATCAGTTGCCACGGCAGAGCTGCACCAAGACAGTTAGGAGGGATAATGGAAATAGCAGGGGGGACGGTGCGGTGCATGAAAAGGAAAGTGCAAAAAGAGCGACCCCTCCGGTTCGCTTCCCTGCTCCCAGCAAGTGTCCGTGCAAATGGTGGTAGCTGCCGCTCAGGCCGCGGCGCTGCGGCGCAATTGGAACCAGATGTTGGGGACTTCAAAGGGGAGGAAAGCAGCTGTGAGCGAGCGTTCATCAATCTCTGCTCTTCAGAGGGAAATGCTGGCAGTCTTTGAAGGAAGCCCGTTGCTGACTGGTTGCTTCTTGACTTTGAGCTACTAACCCCCATTGCTGTGGTTAGTTACCTGTTTGACTCGGTAATTAGAGACGCTCAAGGCAGATCGTATAAATGCTCTTTGAGGTATAAGTGCTCTTTGCAACGTGGTGAAGCCACACAAGCCACCTCAAGGGTGACGGAGCATTGCTGACAACTGCATCTAGGTGTGTTTTGTGCTCTCACATGCTGGTGATGCATCTCACAGCACATCACAGGAGGAGAAGGAAAGCAGAGACTCCGCTAAAGGCTAGGGAAAACTCCATGTCGTTTAGGCTTCCTAGAAGGGGAGTTTTTAGAAGAAAACGCCTTCTACAGATGTGTGTTTAAAAATGGAAATCATACCTCTTTATCACTGACATCTGGAGACCAGATTCAGGTTTAAATAGATTATTAAAATAAAAAAACACCAACAAAACTAAAGGACAACTAGCCCCTGGTGCTGAAAAGCTAACATCAAACTGAATGAACTGTTGGGCGCATTTTTGGCTTTTGGGGATGAAACTATGGAGCAACTAGGCAGCACTGGCAGAAGGGGCAGGGCACTGCCTCTGTGGCTCGATAGGTGAGACACTTCCCACCTCTGCGATAAAATAAATGGTGAAAAACATGTGGGCAAAAGCCAACACAGGCAGAAACAGCCCCTGCCCATGCCGGTGGTGGAGCGGAGGGAGCTCCTACCTGTCCAGTCGCATCCCAGCACCTCCAGGCGCATCCCAATTCCGGCGGGTGACCACCTCTCCGGGTGCACGCGGACGTACTGCGCGGGGACGGGCTCGAACCGCCTCACCTCGGGGATGTCGTAGTGGATGTTGCCCTCGAAAAGCTGCGGGGAGAGAGTGAGCAAAAAGCCCGTGAGCAGGGCAGGAGATAGCAGCAGGGCTCCTAGGACATGGGAACACTTGAAATTCACCCAAATCCTAGGAGTAGATGTGGTCACATAGAGAACAAACATGCAACAGCAGCAAATGTGATCGTTCCTCAAGGTCCCTGCTGCTCCGACGCTGCTTGGCAGAAAGGTCAGCAGCAACTTTGGAGGAAAAGCTCTGGGGAAAGCACAGGGAATTTCCAGGGCACACTGGTGGGGAAAAAGGGTCTGCACATAGCAAAAAAAATCCCAAAGAGAAGTCGTGACTCATCCTCCTGCCTCAGAGATGCAAGCTGCAGCAGCAACATGTTGTCTCCCTCAACTTGGTATTCAGAACAACACCCAGCACCTACCAGGGGGACCATGGCCTGCAGGAACGGGGCACAGCCGACGGTGACGCTCCCAGCCCCAGCCCTGCACGAGAGGCCACTGCTTATTGCACCAAGCACGAGGAGGGGGAGGTCTGGACCTTTTGGTCCATAGCGAGAAATGAAGGGAAACTGCTCATCCTGAGGCAAGGTAGAGCTACAACCTCTAGGATGGCTTAGGAGCACAACCAGGGGGACGTGCAAGGGGGTTTCATGGAGATAGCCTAAATTCAGAGCCTAAATTCCCATTCCTCTGTAAGGAGAAGACTCTCCAAGACGCCGTGAGGGAGACTGAAGACAGCCAGACACACATCCCCTTGGAGCCCTCCTGCTACTCCGGGCGGTGCCTACCTTGGCTTGCATCGTTTTGGGGTCCTGGACGAAGTCCCAGTCCTTCCCGGTCATGCTGTAGGCCACCTTGAACTTCTTGACGAAGGAGCGCGCCTCGGTGGTGCTCACGCTGTCACCCCCGCGGGCCCCCTGGATGATGATGCCCCGCACGTTCTTGGGGACGCCCAGGTCCACCTGCAGCTCCTCCTCGCCCGGCTGCGCCTGGGGGACGCGGGGGAACCAGCCCGAGCGGCTGCTCACGAGGCGGGCCATGCTGGGCGACCAGTCGTAGCCCCTGATGGACGAGGCCGAGATCTGCGTGTCAGGGATGAGGCCGGAGAGCATCCCCAGCAGGTTGGAGCAGGGCGAATCTGCGGGGACGGAGAGGGCGTGAGCATCCCCGAGGGGTTTCTCCCAGGAGGAGCGCCGTGGGACGTGGGGCACAGGTGCCCGCCTGCCCCGAGGTGCAGACGGGGCAGTCGCTCACCGGTGATGCGGCAGGCGGCGGGCCCCACGCGGCGGGGGGGGGC